CACTATAACAGTTTAGAACTGATAAAAAAACAAGCAAAAAAATTGTCAAAAAAAATTTTGAAATGTATTTTAAATATTTTTTTAAATATGAATAATTCTAAAAAATAATTGAAAAAAATATTTAAAATTATTTGAGAAAAAAAATATGAATAATTCTAAAAAATATTTAAAATTATGTGTATATATATATATGTATGTATAATCTTAAACTACGTATATGAGATCGCACTCGAACACCGTAACATCTCTGTGTACCTCGCAAGATTAAGAGGACCAAAAAATATATATTTAAATACATATATTATCGTCACTAATATGAAGTTAGTGCGTGTTGATGCCATGCTGTAGAACCATTCTATTGGACATCGAACTAGCTCAAAGTCCGTAAAGATGTAGATAAATGAAGACATTTTATGAACATATTAATCACTATAAAGATTTGGAGGCATCTCATGGGAAGAATTTAAGTCAGATGGAGATTCTTAGTTATCACGTGATTAATCACTATTAATCACGTGATACTTAGTTATCAGGTGAAGTTCTCGGTGGGAAAAAAATTTTCCATCTATTTGTATGCGTGGATAAAAGTTTAAAATAGGTTCAAAACATATTATCCCCCTCTTATTACCAAGAGGATAAGAAGAGACTATTAGGGGTAGTTAAAGAACATCTTCTCCTAAAATATTTCACTGAATATTTTATCTTTGTATGATCAAATATAAAAGCTCATCTTCAACACGATGAGAGAGGACTTATCTTTTTGACCATTCGCATCCGCACTCAAACATGTCGGATTACTAATTTGAGTATTTAATATTTTTATATTAAGAATACTTTAAATAATCTTATATATATGAGTTTGAACCATATCCGGTTAACCAATACATCATCAAACTTTTTCATTAACAGATAATAACATCAATATAGTGCTGAAGCGATAGGCTGATATGATAGCTAATTTGGAGCACTTCCAAATTAACCAATATATTAATTTTTCAGTAAATAAATAGATTTTTTTTTTTTTCAAACTGAACAATAATTTTTTTTTTGTATTTGATGTGTTAGTCTCTTGAATCATGATTAATGAAGTAATAACATTAATTAGTACTACAAATCGAATAAAAATGAATATTCACAACATAAAATTGGTTTTGCATAATTATATTATAAAGAAGGGTGTGTTCTTTTTGACGACCAATTTCAATAGAAATTTAATATTCAACTGCCATTTATAAGTTTTATTTATTTCATTTGATTTTTAACTTGGAATTCCATCACTTATTCACATCTTCATCTTATATAATTCTCCAATGACATGTCTATAGAAAGGTGTAGTAGATTTGTAATTCTATTTTAGTTGATTTTTTTTTACCCTTTTAGGATTGTATATGTAGGGTGTTTGTGACCATTGCATATACAAAATTTTTCAAAAAAATTCATCCAAATAATAATTTTAAATTTTTTTTAACATGCATAAAAGTTACTTGAGTAACATAGGATTAGATGAGTATTTGAGATAATGTTAGGGCTCCTTCGGTATCTAGTTTCATTACCATATCATATGAACGCTTGTAGGGATTATTAGATATGACAGATAATCTTATATCATTTGTTGTACAATTATCTAAAGCTTATAAAGTTTATCTTTATATTTTACATTATATATCAAGTGCTTACTGATATAGAGATTCGAATTAAATAATTTTTCTAACTCATTTTTTCTTATACATATTCTAAGGAAATCCTATGAGATTATCTAGAGATTGACTCTTTCAAGATGAACATATAATAGATATACAAGGATATCACATAACTTGGATAAAATTAATTAAATCGATCATAATATATTAGAATGATAATTCTTATATCTTAACTCAGGATTTATGATATTACTAAAAAAAATATTGTATGAATGGACATTGTCTCTAGGGATGGTATTAGTCATCATCTAGTAAACATCATAATAACTTCAGGACTCCCAATCCTAATGAGCTGTATTTATCTTTTTCACAAAGTAAATTTAACTATATATTTATGAGTTTGTGCTTTATTATTAACTCTATCAAAGTTTCTTTCCCATAATTTCATGATAGTGAGAAGGACTTTCATATTTTATATTTATCGTAGTTATGAAAATGTTAGTAGAGTCAATGCATCGTTGACCAAAAGAACTGACCACTCGACTGAGACATCCATGACTCTTCTCTCTCTTGTTTGAACCTTGTGATGATGAGAGCAGGTACTCCAATCTGAGGATCTCGTGGTCTGGATGCTGTAAATGTTCAGAAGACATGAAGATGATTGCTCAATAAGGACGAGGTAGATCCATTTGGGGCTACTTCCCATCAGCCATGAGGTCACCACCCTCTCCGAGAACATGATTGCCTCAACCGCAGTCCGGACACCATTAACGATCAGATAAGTGCCACGGACAACGGCGTCGCCCTTCGTCTCCGACTCCCCCACTCCCCTCTCATGCCCGTCATCAGAGATGGATTCCGTGTCGGCATGGTCAAGATGGGGAGCCTCGGGCAGGGGAGTGAGGGTGGCGGCAGAGGAGCAGAGGATTCCCATCCGTAGCTTTTAAGACACATGTTGGCTGCAGTAGTGAGGGTCGGGGTGGGTCATGGCGGAGCTTTTGCACGCCTGCTTTCGACTAGTGCCTTCTTGTTGACAGTTCATGGTCCAACGGGTCACACATGTGGTCGATGCGGGTGGCCACAGCAACCTTATCGGCTTGTGTTGGAAAGATCTTTCTCCTGTCATCCCACAGGCCAACATTGGCACGAAGCATTGCTGGATATTTCTCCCTGATAAGTTCGACGGAGGGGGAGGACAGCTATTTCTGCATTGGTTTTCTACTGTGAGTAGGTCCATGGTCACCATCAACCTTGCATCGGTCATCTCGATTCTTTTGTACCCATTCGTCATGTTCTTCATCTGCTTAATACTAATACAAGCCTCGCATGCCTGATGAAACCGAAGTTTCTCCTTCCTTTCACGTTAAGCAAACATGCATTTGCTTGTGCCGAAGTAGTAGGTTTTTATAAAATATGTAATATGTTATATATAAAGTGAAATTTTTTTTATGTTAAGATTGAAATTATATATATATATATATATCGGATTTATGATACGTACCTTTTTTGATGTTATTTGGAAAAAACTTTATCAGATCTTCAGGAGCACATCTTTGGATCCAAAAACTACTATCGATTTGCAAGGAGAATTAGATTCTCCTCTTCTTTTCCTATTTTTTCATAGGACTACTAAGATCGATGGATTAGGAACATGAAGGATGAGAGATAAATCATAATCTCTCAATGACTGTCATATATCTACGTATCTTACGTCACATTACACATCGTGTAATACATATCATTTAATCCGTAAAAGATTCTGTCTATATATAGGCGAGAGCAGAAGGTTTAGGATAAATAATTAGGAGAGTTCTTTCCATCAAAGGCATATCATAAAGAATTCTACTATAATATGAACTTTCTTTCTATTGACTATAACTTCCATCAGAACGATCTATAATATATATTATCAATTAAATAGGGTTATATAATCTAACATTCTCCGACTTGACGCATTAATTGGTAAGATATAAAAAATATTAAAATTAAAATAAATAAAATAAAATTTGTTTGAAAATAATTTTATCTAATTGGATTCTGAAAATTTTGAAAAGCATTTTATACATGATCATGAATTTAAAAAACAAGCTAATAAATTTAATATGCATAACAATACTATATTAAGTAAAAAACCGATGCGAGTCATAGTGGTTGTATATCATCAATGTCACACTATCTTCTATATATCACAACATTGTTAGACTTTCCTAATATAGTTCATAATGACCATTGTAATTTGTCTTGTTAAAATAATCATGTTATTACATTCAACTATAATATACATAAACATAAATATAAATAGGATAGCATAAATAAATAACTTTAATTAAGCAATAAAAATATCAATAATAGCATCCATCACGCATTACTATATCTTTTATAGCTTACTCACAAACCCTATTTAAAAAAATATTATTTAAATATTTTAGATTGTAAAGCTTTAGTAAATAGATTAGCAATCATCATGGTGGTTCTTAGGTTCTTAATTGACGCTTGTTATTTCTATACTCTTTTTTTAACCACCAAGTACTTTATCTTGATATACTTGGAACCACTAGAGTACTTGTTATTCTTAGAGAAGAAAAATGCTATGGTGTTATCATAAAATATCTTTAACGGCTTGATAATTCAATCGACTATACTAAATCCTAAGATGAAATTTCACAACCAT